AGAATTAAGCCAGTATTTTGAGCTGGCAAAATTCTCAGCCTAGTACAATTCCTTCAATGAAATTGTAGCTCAACAATACTGTTCTCTAAAAATGTTTTAATTGTCCATCCAGCCGCTCAGAATATTTTTCATAACTCCTCCAGGGCAGTGTGGATTATGTTAAAGTGTTAGGAGGAAGTAGGAGGAAGAAAATGAATTTAGACGAACATTGTACTTCCATGTTAAAGTCACCAAAATAGCACTTGAAGGGATATTTCTCTCGGGCAATAGGGAGAATAATAATTTCATACCACCCAAAAAAACAACCACACATACACCTAAATTCTCTCACCTCAGAAAATAGGGAAGGAAAGAAAAGAGAGAAGCAAAATATCAGCTTGAATAAAAAATCACAGAGAAACTTATAGCTATTTAGGGAGGGCAGCTGGCTGAAGTCAGACAGGAAGAGAACGATCAAAACCCCTGCCCTATTTTTCAGGCTCATTCAGGTAGAAGACAAAAACAAAAATACGGGAGAAAGGAAGCAAACCACACCTTTTCCCTGTTGTCTCCCCAGAACTGAACGGTGTCTCTGATAAGCATTTTACTGTAGACACTGACACTAAGCAAAGAAAATGACTCAAAAATGCTTCTAACTGGGTAAATCTGATGCTTCAGTTTATTTATGATGTACCAGAGGCCATTGACCAAGGAGATCCATAGCTTGGTAGCTGAAGCTTATTGCTTTCTCTCCTTAGTTCCCATTGGCAGGCTCTATGACATTCCTTGCTTGTGATGTGAGACCTCCGATTTCCTTTTGTTGGATAGGATATGATTTCCTGACAGAGATCTGTCCTGATACCAAATAGCTATGATGAAATTCTTGTTATTTTTGCCTTTTTGTGCACCTTATCATTACAGGAATGCTAAAGGTGTAGGAATAAAATTTCTCTGGATGCCCAAGAAATACAGTGTGACGGAAACAGTACAGCCTAGGGACTTACTTGTTATGAACCTTTGGTTCATTCCATCTTTACTTCATCTGTAAAACGGAGATCACGATAGCATCTACTGCAAAGCGTTTTGTGATGATTTTCTCTCTCTGTCTCTCTCTCACATACACACACACACACACACACACGTTTATATAGTGCTTAGACAATGAACTCATAATAAGCAATTGACAAACGTTAGCTGTTATGATTATGTGGGCAAGTCAGATTTTAGAGTTTGTGAGCCTCAGACACATTTACACAAGAAAAACTTTCTGGTCCAGCACCATATCCTCCGCTTCCTCCCCACCTTTTGCCATCTATCAACCCCTCTCTCCTCTAACTCCAAACACAGGCCCCCATTTGATCCATGTTACCTAGACCCTTCCTCTCCTCTCCACGTGGCCCCTCCTTCGTCTCTGAAGGAAGCTGCAGAAGCCCAGCCTGGTGCTTCTACAAAGAAGGGGACACACGCCTCTTCCACCCACTCACGCTGTTACTGCGTCTGATCATCTCTGTGCCACGCCCTTGTTCACTTAGCTTAAGCTGGGTGTTTGTCTCTATTTCTAAATGTAATAAAACACTTGGGAAAGACTGAAGTAGGCGTCGGCAGGAAGAAGAGAGGAAGTTAGACCCAGCGGCTTGAGCGCCCTCTGATGCCTCCTTTTCCTCAGCTTCACACAAGGCCCTCACGGGCAAGAGCTCCACAGCCATCCACCCGGAGGAGGAGTACTCACAATCGGGGTCAAATGCCTTGTATGTGGGGTCTACCAGTAAGCCTGTGGCCAGCCTTCTGCTTCATGAATTGTCATATTTACATGAGAGATGTGGAGGGGGATGGAGCAGCATCCTAGCTCCTGTCCTGTGGAGGTTAAGTCAAGTCAGGCCGGGCTGTGGTAACCGACAACCTCCATTGCCTTCATTAAAGAACAGTTGTTTCTCATTCATACAGAGTGGATTGTAGGTGTGAGTGATTCCCTGGGGCAGCTGCTCTTCACGGTGACTCAGCTAATTAGACTGCTTTTATATTGGGATTGTGCCATCTCACAAGGCTGTCTTGGTTGACTTGGTAGGGAAGGAGGAGAGTCATGCACAGGGAATTAAATTCTTTGACCAGGAACCTTTTGTTCACTTTCCATTGGTGAGAACAAGTCACACAGCTCCAGGAGAGTAGGAAGTCTAGTTTCTCGTTTTCCATGGGCCTAGGAATTAGAGGATAAGCACTCGTGATGTCTTCCACGTCTTGCTCTCCTTTTCTTTGCCTGTTATAATCTTCCATGGAGAAGAAATTATTTTTCTGATTGGTCTGATCAAGGCCTCTAACCAAGGGCATGTTTACTAAGGGTCACAGAACAGTAAAAGGTTGCACAATTGCATTTCACCACTCTTTTCTGAATCCTGCTTAACTAAAACTTTAAAAACTCACTTGCAGACCACTTATTGCTCTTCTTAGTTATCAAATATATTTTCTTCCAGCTCCTTTTTGACAGATCTTGCCTTGTTCTCAGCTGAGTCCATTGCAACCATCTAAATGAACTCCCTCATTCCCCTTTCTCCCCCACTAATCATCCTGTCTTTGTTCTTTTATCTGAAGAAGTGTTCCTTTCCTCCCCCAAGACTTATGCTCTCTAGATTAGTCCATTTGTGTTACTGTAACAAGATACGTGAGACAGGGTAATTTATGAAGAACAGACATTTATTATTCAGTTCTGGAACTAGAAGTTCAAGGTCAACGCTCTAGAAGATTTGATGCCTTGGCCATTGACTTGAAAAATAAGTCACTGCAGTGAACTCTGGTCACCATGATTTCCTGGGTTCATTCTTAACACACATAGCATAGACAAATCAGCGCCACATTTCATGCTGAAAGACGATGTGAAATGTTGAGTAAACATCACCTTTTAAATAAGAAGATAGATGGTGAATTGCAATTTGAACTTTGGTTTCATTTGCTTAAAAATGGTGTTTTAATGTCCAGGTTTTACTGAAAGAATACTTAACTAAACACTTGCATCAAATCATTCCAGTGTAACAGTCCTCACAAGAAGGAAGGCAGAAGGGCAAAAGTGCCAAGCTATTCTCTCCAGACCTTCTCTTTTTATTAATTGATTGATTGATTAAGACAGGGCCTTGCTCTGTGACCCATGCTGGAGTGCAGTGGTGTGTTCATGGCTCACTGCAACTTTGAACTTCTGGGCTCAGGCAATCCTCCCACCACAGCCTCCAAAGTAGCTAAGACCACAGGTGCATGCCACCATGGTCTTTTTTCATTAATTTTTTTTTTTTTTAATTTAGACATGGGATGTCACTGTGTTTTCCAGGCTGGTCTCTAACTCCTGGCCTCAAGATATCTTCCTCCTCAGCCTCCCAAAATGCTGGGATTATGGGCATGAGCCATCATCCCTGCTCTCTCTAGCTGTTTTAATAAAGTCTAATCCCATTCAGGAGGTTCTGCATTCATGGTTTAATCACCTGCTAAAGAGCTCACCTTTTGATACTATCACATTGGTGATTAAGTTGGAACACATGGCCTTTGAGTGACTTTCAGACCACAGCATTTTGGAGAAAATTTCCCCTTTCTTCTTTTTTTTTTTTAATCTGCATCTTCTCTTTTCTACAGATGCCTTCCACTTCACTTGGAAGCTTGTTAAGACCTCTCCCATCTTAAAAGTTTATTTTCCCAGAACACCAGAACTCATTCCTTCTAACTGTAACTTTGTACTCATTACCAACCTCCCCCCATTTCTACCCTTACTCCCCAGCCTCTGGTAACTACTACTGTACTCTTTACTTCGATGAGGTCAACTTTTTTAGATTCCACATATGAGTGAAATCACGCAGTATTTGTCCTTCTGTTCTTGGCTTATGTCACGTAACATATGGCCCTCCAGCTTCACCCATGTTGTTGCAAATGACAGGATTTCATGCTTTTTTACGGCTGAATAGTATTCCATAGTGTATATATACACAATGTTTCTCATTCATACAGAGTGTGTTGTAGGTGTGAGTGATTCCCTGGGGCAGCTGCTAATACTTACTGATTACCCTGATTTGATCACTACACAATGTATACATGTGTTGAAACATCATGCTGTACCCCATAAATATGTACAATTATTACATGTCAATTAAAAAACTCAAGAAAAGTATTTTTTAGTGTTTTTTTTTTTTCTCAAGCGTGTCCCATTTTTCCATTGTTTTCACTTTCAAAATTCTTGAAAGACTGTTTTCATCTGCTGCCTTTGTTTTCTTCTTTCCAATTCACTCTTTTGAAATATGGCTTCTACCTTTAACACTCTGCTGTTCTCCTGAAGGTTATTGGTGCCCTACTAATCATAAAACACAATAATGCTCTTTTGTATTGTATCCCAGTGAAACTTTTTGCAGAATTCTATTCTTTGAGAATTTCTATTTTTTTTCTTTTCTTTTTTTGTGGTCCTTTTGGCTTGCAGGAAATTGTACTCTCCAAATGTTCTCTATGTCTTCTATTTCTTCTCTGAGAATCCCTTTACTAAATCCTCTTGATGCATATGCTTCAGAATACTTAATTTACATACTTTTAATTCCTTCTTAATTTATATACATTTAATTCCTTCTTAATTTATACACTCTCTGCTGGTAATGTCAACACCCCATAGAAAGGGAGACCTATTGGTCAGAACAGGCCAGGGAATAGAAGAATACATAATAAATAATCTGCCCAGTTCTTCTAGGGCCCCATACTATGTAGAACATATATTTTTACTTCTTCTCCCAGCCCATTTTTAATATACCTAAATTACTGTCAGTGATTCTGCAGGCAAACAATGCTTGAGTGGTGTGACACAACTTTGTGAAAGCATCCTACCCAGCACCTGATGATGTAAAACTCTTCTATGTTGATTGGTTGTCAATCTGAGGAGTTTCCAATCCTGGGGAAGCCAGAATAACAGCTGCTTATACTGTTAATGAATATTTTTTGACTGAGTTTTATGAACCCATCCTGAAGAGGCTGATGATTTTATTATCTCATTTTATTCCTTTCTCTAGAATGGATTCTAGGTGGCTCCCCTGGGTGGTGGCTCTGCTAGTGAATCTGACCAGACTGGATTCCTCCGTGACTCAAGGCACAGACTCTCCAGGTAAGAACAGAGCAATTATTTTTTCCAGTGTGTATGCAAGAATTGCCATGGGGGAGCGAAGCCTTTCCTTATAAGTCCAGGCCACAGACCAGACTGGAAGTGGCTTTTGGCTTCAAAGAGCTGTGTTCTTCCCTTTGGCAGAAAGGTCCTCCTTCCCTCTTTACATAGGATGAACTTCATATGCCAGAGCCACCTATTCAAGGGGTAGGGACGCAGGAAGAGGGAAACATTGTGTCTTGTTTAGGGTTCCTATTGTATGTATCAATCACCTATGCAGCCATGAAGCAATGTGAGACCATGAAAGCACATATTAATGAGCAGAAACAGGATGTAATGTGCTAAGAACAGAATCCCCTTTGCATGTTAGTTTCATTAAACTCAAAAGAGGAACAAACCTGGCTGGGGGAGCTCATCATTATTAGAGAATAGAAACCGCCCTGAGTTTATAATGTCCATTTGGCAATACAACCGAACAAAAATCAGCATAGATTTTTAAATGATGATGAAAGATTCCGATTTCCCTCCGCTGGTTTAGACTACTAGAGGAAACAGAGAAAAATATACACGCTGAGAAACTGCAGGCTGGAATTTCATCTGAAATGAGCTACTGAGTGAGGGATAAGTGTGGTTGATCCAGGAAGGTCATTCTTATGGCTCAGTTCAGAGTTGGAGGAGGCCTCTGAACTTAGAAATGAAAGTAAATTTACAACCCAAGATTAATAGCAATTATCCTTCATGTCTCAATTTCTTCAGGAAGTCCTTCCTGACTTACTGTATCAATAACCCCATATGAATTTCCTTTTTATTGTAGCTGTTGTTCTCAAGTACATAGAATTGGGTTAATTTTGTCCAGTGAGTTCACAGCACACTGTAATCATTGGCAGTAGTACAAGACTCTCTCCTCTCTTCCCTCGCCTCCATTTTCATTCTCTCCCCGCCCTAGAGAATCCATTCTAAAGGTGTCTGGGATGTCTCTAAGTATAAGAGTGGCCTTTAAAAATATGTAGCATTGTTTTTCTTTGTGTATTTAAAAAATTTAATAAATGTCATTGTGCATTGAATCACATTCTGTTTCTTTTCTCACTTGACACTGTGCTTTTTAAGCATACTGAGGTTGAAGGCCTCCTCTTAGATCCATGTGCTCTGATGTAATTTGCCAGGCATGGGTTTTCCCCAAGGAGGGAGCTGGTTCATGGTCCCTGTTTTGGTTTTCCAGAAGATTTTGTGATTCAGGCCAAAGCTGACTGTTACTTCACCAACGGGACAGAAAAGGTGCAGTTCGTGGTCAGATTCATCTTTAACTTGGAGGAGTATGCACATTTCGACAGCGATGTGGGGATGTTTGTGGCATTGACGAAGCTGGGGAAGCCAGATGCTGAGCAGTGGAACAGCCGGATGGATCTCTTGGAGAGGAGCAGGGAGGCAGTGGATACGGTCTGTAGACACAATTACAGGCTGGGTGCACCCTTCACTGTGGGAAGAAAAGGTGAGGTGAAAGGTGGGGTCTGGCGGGGCTCAGGAATGTCCCCCATGTGAATCTGGCCATGGCTTTTCTTCCTTATAATAAGCAATTTTCTGCTTTAGGATTAATGGTTGTCTGTGTACACGTTCTGTCCCCAGCTGTGACGCATTATCCTCACAAATCCACCACTGTGGTCTTGCTGTTAGACCCCCAAGGCTGCCGGGGACTTCTACCCTCTAAGTGGGCTGGAAAAGCGGTGATCATGGGAGTACCTCAGAAAGTCTAAATCCTCCTGGCAAGCATTGACATACCCTGTTACTGATCTTGGGGCCTGAGACTTGCCTATACTTTGTGTTCACTTGGGTGGTCTGGGAAAGAGAGGTAGTGATAGTCCCTAAAGAATCTCCTGTCCCAGCTTGGTGGTTTTCCTTCACGACATCTCATTTCTCCCCCTTCCTAGTGCAACCAGAGGTAACGGTGTACCCAGAGAGGACCCCACTCCTGCACCAGCATAATCTGCTGCTCTGCTCTGTGACGGGCTTCTATCCAGGGGACATCAAGATTAGCTGGTTCCTGAATGGGCAGGAGGAGAGAGCTGGGGTCCTGTCCACTGGCCTTATCGGGAATGGAGACTGGACCTTTCAGACTGTGGTGATGCTGGAAATGACTCCTGAACTTGGAGATGTCTACACCTGCCTTGTTGATCACTCCAGCCTGCTGAGCCCTGTTTCTGTGGAGTGGAGTGAGAATTAGTTTCTAGTGCTCTCTGGGCCTGACTCAGGACTATACTGACTCAAGACAAAGCCTGTGTCACTTCTGGGTCACAACATGGATTCTTCTTTCTCTTGATTTGGGACAGTCACGGAAACCAGAGTTCTTGGGTTAGGGTGGGAGAAAACATGGCAGATATGTATCCTCATATCTTCCAAGAAATAAGGAGGTCTAATCACCTCATTATATGCTTCCAACCCTATAAACTGGTATCCTCTAATTCTTTGGTCTTAGTAATTAGGAGACATTCCTATGGGTTGTAAGAATCAGTAACAGGTGGGTTATAACTCCATGGGTGCCAATTTTGGTTTCAATGAACCATTTCTAAATTTATTTATTTTTCTCTAGCTAGCATTGGATTTGGTATCTAGTATAGATTCTGGGATTTCAAGAAGGTGGATTAAATATTGGGATATCTTTGCTAATTTTAAGACCTGTTTCCCATAGGAGCTCAGTCTGGATATTCTTGGAGAAAGATGCTGAGTGGCATTGCAGCCTTCCTACTTGGGCTAATCTTCCTTCTGGTGGGGATCGCCATCCAGCTCAGGGCTCAGAAAGGTAACGAGCCTGTGAGGAGAGCCCTGCCACCTGCCCAAGGGCTTCCCTGCTCCCGTCTTCCCTAACGTCAAAGATCTGAGGTAAGGAGAGCTGATTGTACCTCTCAGGGATCACTGGGATAATTTTTTCTGAAGCTAGAAATGGGGAATACACAGAGAGAGAGTGCTGATGTTGCCAGCCATTTGTCTTCCCTCCCAGGATAATCATATTTGGTCCTAACTGGGGCAATCCATTCTTTTCTCGATTTCTTTCCAGGACATGTGGGGACGCAGATGTCTGGTGATGAGGTAATGTCTCCTTTCCCTTGTCTTTGAGTGGCAGATTGTTCTCCCAGTTCTTTGGCCAGAGGGAGATGCCGTGGGGATAGGCAGGAGTAACGTTGGTTTTTTCTGGGTGGCACTGTCTCCTGTGTCTCTGGAATGGCTATGGGGGGTGGTAAGGCTGCCTCCTGAGACCTTCATCACTGTTCCTCCAGGTCTCAAGAGCGGTTCTGCTCCCTCAGCCATGCTAAAGTCCTCACGGAAGCTTCTCTCCCTGGAGCATAAAGTAGTGATGGGTAGTCTGGGCCCTGGGTGAGGTAAAGGACGTTCCTGAGGCCAGTGTTCTGGGAATAACTCTCTTCCTTGATCCTTGGAGGAGTCCAATGTGATTCTGGAACTCTGTGCTCTGAGATTATGCATCTCCCACCCATCTGCCCTTCTCCCTCCTACATGTGTACATCTTTAATCCCCATTGCCAAGGACTCTGTCCAGAAACTCCCCTAAGACCTTACTTCTTCCAGCCCCAAATCATTTACTTTTCTGTGATCCAGCCCTGCCCCTATAAGCCATGATGTCCAAAGCTTTCCGTCTTCCAGCTGCAGTCTCCACAGTCTTCAGAAGACAAAGGCTCAGGTAGTCACTGTTTCCAAAAACCTCTTTGTTGTAGAATAAAACGGAGATACAGAGAACCACGCAAAATGTATAATTTAGTGAATTATTTAAGGAAAACTCCCTGTAATCAAGTCAAGAAACAGGACTTTGCCAGCTCCAGCAGAAGTCTCTGTGTACCTCAGGCCAATCAAAACCTCACCCTCCCCTCAAAAGTGTTCGTATCCTGACTTTCTGGTAATCTCTTTCCTGCCTTTTTGTGTAGTCTGTTCCCCCAGGTATGTGTTCCTGGACGCTACCGCTTAGTTGCCTTTTACGTCTCTTATACTTCACTGGTTTCTCTCTCATCTGCCTTTGTGTCCTCTTATGATTAATCTGCTGAAAAGCTCAAGCCATTTGACCGGTAGCATTTCCCACACTCTGGATTTTGCTGGCTGCATACACATGGTACAGTGTAACATGTCCTCTGCCCTCTGCCCTCTGTATCTCCTGCAAATTGGCATCTGAACGCAGAGGCTGGATCAGACTCTGGTTTGATCTTTTCCTTTGGAAAGTCTATACGTGGTACTGTGGTCTTTCACCACGAGATGAAATTTCCAGCTGTTTCTCTTTTTGTGATGTTCGCAATCATTGATATCAATTGCCTAGGTCGTTAATTTGTTGGGGGTTGTTAAATGGTGATATTCTGTCATTTTTTCTTCATTTATATGCTTCATTAATGCTATAAAGAGACACTTCCTTTCCTTTGCTAGTGAAGAGACATTTCCCTTCACTTACTAGTCAGTGGAAAGGCAGAATCAATGATTGACTCTCCTTTTATTTACCAATTTTCAAGCTAATAAGTTGGTTTCCTAATACTAATAAAATCTACAGATGCCAATCAGGCTTTACTTTTCATTTTTTAAGTAAGTATAAACAGAAGGATTTAAATGTTTGATAGATTTTACTCTATTGCAATTTTTATGCTTGTTGAAGCTTACATGCTTTATTTTTGGTGAGTGAAAACTTTCTTCAAGTGGCTAAAAATGAAACTGAGTTCCTTTGACACAAAGTTCTTTTGATAATTTCTTTGTTATCTGGGATGAAAAGATGTTTCTGGTTCATTCTCTTCATTTCTTGCCCAGACCAGGAGGTAGCCATTTTTTTCAGAAATCTCTGGTTTATTTTAGTGGGAAATGACATTTAAGACTATAATCCAGAGTTAGGGAGCTTCATCCTACTGAACCCACTGCTTGAGTCACCTCAGAAGTGGCGGCAAGGGAGTTTCCACAAGGAAGTGCTTCAAACCATCCTGAGGTGGTGTGGGTCAGGATTCAAAGAAAGAAGCATGAAATGCCAGGGTGATCAGTCCAAAGCATTTATTTGGGGAATTTACCTACGGAGGGCTTCAGGAGTCTTAACAGACAGCAAGAGAAAAGGGATGTTCTGCCTGGGTATTTCTGCATTGAGGGAGTCAGGGTATGGAGTTTATATGAGGGTTTAAAGAATTTGGCTCAGGGCTGGGACACAGTTTCAGCGTTCAGGGCAACAAGCTAGATACCTAGTGCCTGGGAGTGTTCAAGGCCTTGGCTTGGGTTCAGGCCTGCTGGGGAAAACCTGCAGTTGGCTGGGTCACAGAGGCATTCTGTGATTTTTCAGTCAGGACATGGAAAGAAAGCAGGGAGAGGGGTTGTGGAGGAGCCTAAACAGATAGGAGTGGTCATTGTGTCCAGCCTGTTCAATGGAAATATAACATTTATATATGTATACATTTAAAAAATCAGTCTTTTCTATATTACGTCTGCATCTCCTTTCTTTTACACCAAGAACTCTGTTTTTTAAGGATGCAGAGACAGACACTATTAGAAAGTCCATACTTATTTGCTTTTCCTGAATGAACATAGACAGCAGTCTAAGGATAATAACCTTCATACTACAACCACAAAATGACTACTAAAAACGGTTGACATTCTTTTTAGCTACATTCTCCATTCTTACCTATGTTCTCCCCACCTTTCTAGTTGAACTATGTCTATGTTAATTGATCTTGTGCCATTACAGAGATTACTTGCTCCCTTATGAGTCCTAGTTCTGTGAGTTGAGCTATGTTTAAGGCTCACCATCATTCCCTATGCTGATGTCCCTGTCATGTGGCATTTTTCAGGTGTGATCCTTGGATCCATGGGGGTCCCTGGGACCTTTCAAGGGGCCTATGAAGTCAAGCATTTTTGTAGCAATGCTAAGATGTTATTTGCCTTTTTCACTGTATTATTTGCATAGTGGTGCAGAAATCTATGGTAGGTGAGACTGTTAGTGCCTCAGCACAAATCAAGGCGGTGACACCAAGTCGTGTAGGTAGTCATGTTCTCCACTGCCCTAAGCTTACAGTAAAGAAAAGAAAGAAAGAAAGAACCAGTGACTTTGATGAAGCAATAAAATCATTAGTTTACTAAATTTTAAACCTCAAGCACACATCTGTTTAATATTCAGTGTAAGAAAATAGGCAGCATTTCTGGTGCATACTGATGGAAAGGCAGTTGTTCTGTGGAAAAGCCATTGTATAATTGCATGAGTTGTGAGTGAAGCTAGACGTTCCTTTTTTTTTTTTTTTTTTTTATTTAATGGGCGGATCATCATTTTCCTTGAAAGAATGACTGAAAGTCACAATGTGATTATTCAGACTTGGGTATTTGGTAGAAATTTTCTCAAAAATGAACAAAATGAGCTTATCCTATCAAAGAAAATAATATTGACAGTGGAAATTGGAATTTCAAGAGAAAATTAAAATTTTGGAAAACTTATGTGTGCCGCAGCTTCTCACTACTTCAAGATTTTCCTGATGAGATGGGTGGTGATATTAACAAATATGGTTTTAAAAACATTGTTTCATAAAATATGTCAGTACTTTAAAGATCTGCATAACCCCATGAACAGTAATTTACAAATAATCAATGCATGATATTGCAAAGCCATGTATAGATGAAAAGATACATTTAAAGATAAACTAGTGAATTTTAACATAACAGAATATGAAAAGTTAATTGATAAGGTTTCAGATTCTACACCGCAACTAACCTGTAGGAATCTGCTGTTTGTTGAGTTTTGGTGTCTTATCAAGGAAGAATAGTTACAATAGCTGAAAAGGCTATTGAAATTTTCCTCCTTTTCCCACTGTGTATCTGAGTGAGATGAGATTTTCTCTCTGTACCTCAGCCAAAACAACATACTGTTACAGATTGAATGTAGAAGAATATATAACCAAGCTAGTTTTATTAAGCCAGACATTAAAGAGATTTTTACAAATGTTAAATAATTCCTTCTTTTTCACTATTTATCTGTGCTTGAAAAGACAGCTATTTTCCATAAAAATATGTTATTATGGAAACATGTAATGAGTTTGTCATTGTTATTTAAAAACAAATAAACGGGGCTAGGAGCAGTGGCTCACGCCTGTGATCCCAGCATTTTAGGAGGCTGAGGCGGGTGGATCACGAGGTCAGGAGATCGAGACCATTCTGGCCAACATGGTGAAACTCTGTCTCTACTAAAAATACAAAAATTAGCTGGGCATGGTGGTGCATGCCTGTAATCCCAGCTACTAGGGAGGCTGAGGCAGGAGAATCCCTTGAACCAGCAAGTTGGAGGTTGCAGTGAGCCAAGATCGTGCCACTGTGCTCCATCCTGGTGACAGAGCAAGCCTTGGTCTCAAAAAACAAACAAACAAACAAACAAACAAATATATATATGTCACTTTACATAACCCGTATAAACTAAAGCTTCTTGGTGTTTTCAACAATTTTATGAATAAAAAGAAATCCTGATACCAAAAGAATTATAAACTATGGATATAGTCATTGTGATTGTTTGAAATTATTTCTCCTAGGTGCCTCAGGAAGACTAAGGAAAGTGTCTTAGTTTGTATGAGCTACTATAACAACTACCAGAGACTGGATGGCCTAAAACAGCAGAAATGTATTTTTCATAGTTCTGGAGGCTGGGTCCAAGATCAGGGCGAAAACCTGGTAGGGATCTGGTGAGGGCCTGCTGGCAGCATCTTCTCACTAAGTCCTCACGTGGTAAAAAGAGAGAGAGCTCTCTGGAGTCTCCCTTATGAGGACCCTAATCGCATTCACAAGGGCCACACCCTCACGACCTAATCACCTTCCAAAGGCATCATCTCCTAATACCATCACCTTGGATGTTTGGATTTCATTGTATGAATCTTGGGAGGGCACATTCAGTCTATAGCTGGAAGTTCTTGCACTTCATACTTGAAAGTCAGTTTTGCAGATATAAAAATCTTGGTTCTATTTTCTGCTCTTGAGTATCTTAAAAAGTTACTACATTTTCACATAGCTGCTATCAAAAAGTCTGATGATAACCTAATTATTAACAAGTCATTGCTACTTTTGCTGAGATGTCCAGATGGTATTTTCTTTTTCTTTAGTGTCCACAAATTTTATTGAAAAATATCTTGTTGGGGGGAGGGCAAGATGGCTGACTAGATGCAGCCAGGTGGAACAGCTCTCACCGAAGAACCCAGACGACTGGCATGCTCCTAACAGATGTTCAGATGGAAGGCACTTAGAGCGGACAGAGGGCAGACACAGAGGCTGGGCTGATGGGGAGAAGGCTGGGAAGCTTACATGAGGCTACAGCACATCCACACTCATTCCTGTCCTCCAGTGGCTCCAGGGAAATAGGTGAGTTGAACTGGCAAGGAGCAACCCACTCTCAGCCTCTGGAACCACGGCAGGAGGAGACCCATCCACCACCACGGACACTTGAGCTGGCAGGGAGAGCCATTTAGAGAAGTGGTGGGGGCAGCAAGCCAGCTGGTGTGGAGCCCAGAGGATTTGGTGCAGGAGTGTCTGCAGTGGAGCATGGCCAGGAATGGCCATTTTTCTAGGCTGAACTTACTCCCATAGGAGACATTAGCCCTAGAGGAACTGTTAGTCCTGAAATCTGTAGGGTGGTCTTGCCCATCAGATGGAGCTGGTTCTATCTGAGCACCCCTTCATCTTCTGGCCTCTCCTGGGACTCCAGCCTGGCCACATCTGCTTGCAGGGCAGCCTCAGGAGCCCTGTGGGCCTGCACCATAGCTTCTACACTGGCAGGCCATGCCTGATCAGTGAGTGGAGAGCTCCAGCTCCAGTGAGTGGAGGCCCCTTCGACCAGGCACCAGCCTGCATGCTCCCTCCCCACACTGCAGCTTCCCCTGGGCCCACAGCAACTCCCTACGTCACTTTGCTGGTACCTGTCTGCTGTTTTCCTTGCCTCACCAGCAAGTGGGAGTGCAATTCACCCCCCCCTTCACTCCCCTACTGACCCCCATTGCAGACAGATCCTTGGTGGGCAGAGAGCCAGCAAGCCCCAATCCCTCCATCACCCCACCCTGTGCTAACACTGTGCAGAGAAGAGCAGATCCTCCCCCACCCTGAGTGACCACTCCTATACAGAAAAGGCACACAGACCTGCACCTGCCAATGCCCTGCCCCTGAGCCAACACCACCTCCCGTGTGACCACACACATAGTTGCCAGCAGAGTCTCTCCTGCCCTTCTAACAGCTGCATGGCCTCTGCCACTGTGGTGGATGCCTGCAGGGAGGCAGGCACCTTGGCACCCACTAGTACTTTGCTAAAACTGCCACTACCACCGCTGCTGGCACATGCAAACAAGGACAGATCCTACTGTCATTGCACTATGAAACACCTTGGCTGACACCACTCATTGGTGTGTAGTGACCAGTGATCTGGGAGCACTTTGGACTGCCACCTTCTCCCCTCCTCCCTGCCATCACAGTGGATTCCTAACTCTGAGGAAACAGAGAACAAAGTCAGGGCCCAGTACAGGTCCCAAAGAATTATAGCATGCAGTCCAGGAGTTGGGATAGAACATTGGCCAACTAAAATCTTCCAGAAATGAAATCAGTTGGCTGAATCCACCTTATACCACAATCAAAGCCTCAAGGTCATCAAATAGGATAAATAAAAAAGGTTAGATGACCTTTGCTGTCCAAAGGTCAGCAATCTCAAAGATTAAAGGAAAATAAGCCCACAACGATAAGAAATAATCAGGGCAAGAGCCTTGACAACTCAAAAAGCCAGAGTGCCTTCTTTTCTCCACACAACTCCATCTCCTCACAAGCGAGGATTCTGAGCTAGGCTGAGATGGCTGAAATGGCAGAAGTGTAATTCAGAATAAGGATAGAAATGAAGATCATTGAACTACAGAAGTACACTGAAATGCAACCTAAGCAAGCTAAAAATTATGATAAAACAATGCAGGAGCTAATAAAATAGCCAGTATAGATAAGAACATAACCAACTTGATGGAGCTGAAAAACACACTACAAGAATTTCATATTGCAATTACCAGTATTAATAGCAGAATAGACCCAGTGGAAAAAAAGATCTCTGTGCTTCAAGACTGGCTTTCTGAAATAAGACAGTCAGACAACAATAGAGAAAAAAGAATGAAAAGGAAGGAGCAAAACTTCTAAAAAAATGAGATTATGTAAAGAGACCAACTCTATGACTTGTTGGTGTTCCTGAGAGATGGGGAGAATGAAACCAACTTGGAAAACATATTTCAGGGTATCTTCCATGAGAATGTCCCCAACCTGGCTAAAGAGGCCAACATTCAAATACAGGAAATGCAGAGAATCCCAGTAAGATACTTCACAAGAAGATCATTTCCAAGAGACACAATCATCAGATTCTTCAAGGTTGAAATGAAAAAAAAAAAAAAAAAAAAAAGGGAAAAGCAGCTAGAGAGAAAGGCCAGGAAACAGGAAACTACACCTACAAAGGAAAGTCCATCAGACTAACAGTGGACCTATCAGCAGAAACTCTACAAGCCAGAAGAAACTGGGGGCCAACATTCAATATTCTTAAAGAAAACAAATTTCAACCCAGATTTTCATATCTGGCCAAACTAAGCTTCATAAGTGAAGGAGAAATAAGAAACTTTTCAGAGAAGGAAATGCTGAGGGAATTCATTATCACTAGACCTGTCTTACAAGAGCTCCTGAAGGAAGCACTAAATACGGAAAGAAAAGACTGTTATCAGCCACTACAAAAACACACTGAAGTATACAGACTAGTGACACTGTAAAGCAACCACATAAACAAGTCTGCAAAACAACCAGCTAACGTCATGATGACAGGATCAAATCCACACATATAAATACTAATCTTAAATGTAAATGGACTAATGCCCCAATTAAAAGTGGTAATCTGGATAAAGAACCAAGACCTATTAGTATGCTGTCTTCAAGAGATCCATCTCACATGCAATGACACACAGGCTCAAAATAGAGATGGAGAAAAATCTATCAAGCAAATGGCAAACAGGAAATAGTGGGGGTTGCAATACTAGTTTCAGGCAAAACAGTCTTTAAACCAACAAAAATAAAAAAAAGACAAAGAAGGGCATTACAAAAAGCGTAAAGCTGGAGGCATCAGGCTACCCAACTTCAAACTATCCTACAGGGCTATAGTAACCAAAACAGTATGGTACTGATACAAAAACATACACATAGGTCAATGGAACAGAGTAGAGAGCCCAGAAATAAGGCTGCACACCTAACTACCTAATCTCTGACAAACCTAACAAAAACAAGCAATGGGTAAATGATTTCCTATTCAACAAATGGTGCTGGGATAACTGGCTAGCCACATGCAAAAGACTGAAACTGGATCCCTTCCTTACACCATACAGAAAAATTAGCTCAAGATGGATCAAAGACTTAAATGTACATCCAAAACTATAAAAACCCTAGAAGACAACCTAGGCAATACCATTCTGGACATACCAGAAAAGATTTCATGATGAAGATGCCAAAAGCAATTGCAACAAAAGTGAAATGGACTAGTGGGATCTAGTTAACTAAAGTGCTTCTGCATTGCAAAGGAAATTATCAACAGAGTGAACAGACAACTTACAGAATGGGAGAAAATTTTTGCAAACAATGTATCCAATGAAGGTCTAATATCCAACATCTATAAGGACCTTAAACAAATTTACAAGAAAAAAACAACCACATTAAAAAGTTGGCAAATGACATGAACAGACACTTGTCAAAATAAGACATACATATGACCAACAAGCATATGAAAAAAGCTCAACATCACTGATCATTAGGGAAATGCAAATCAAAACCACAATGAGATACTGTCTGGCACCAGTCAGAATGGCTATCATTAAAAAGTTAAAAAAAATAACAGATTCTGGCAAGTCTGTAGAGTAAAAGGGAATGCTTTTACACTATTGGTGGAAGTGTAAATTAGTTTAACTATTGTGGAAGAAAGTGGGCACCTGTAATCCCAGCTACTTGGGAGGCTGAGGCAGGAGAACTGCTTGAATCTGGGAGGCCAAGG